TTTCCAGTTTTAATATGAAATCTCCTAGAATAGAGGTGGCTATCCCCATATCTATCGATATATCCGCTGACTGTGTTGTGGCTGTTTCTTCCAAAGATGGGTGCTGTTTCCATGACTGATGTTAGTTGGCCTTGGCCATGAGTTTTTGTTAGATCCTGAGTGTGTCAAGTGGTGGTCTAGCTTGGCTGGTTTTAAGCTTAAAAAAAAAAAAAAGTATCTGGACTCAATCAGTATACATCCAATGAAAAAGAATTCAAGGTTCTGATTGAACCAATTGTCTAGGTAATTTGTTAGTAGGTTCCCAGCGTGAACTGGAATGGGGTTAAATCAAGAATCTCATATGCAGCAGTAAGAGCCAGAATACCTGACGTCTAACATAACCCTCCCCCTAGTCTTAGTAGAGCTGATCAGAAATTTCACACCTACTGTTATAGCTATTAAACCTACTTCTCACTGCTGAAGCAACCACCAACTGAACAAACTCGTAGGAAGGAAAAAAGTCAACATATTCGTTGGAATGTGGCTGGCCTAGTCTCTCCAAATTTGGTCTATTACCCACATTGAAACTGTCAAGTAAGATGAATGTCAAACTGAGGATGATCAGTGAGAGTTTTAGGACATTACTTTCCCTGTCGCTGCAATTCCCTTTTTTCTTCAGTATTATGAGTGAATTCAGAAAGTACTTTTTGTAAATCGTGAGAATTGATTGGGTTTTAATTAAAACCTGAATGTGAGAAAGAGGTACTTTGACCTAGTAAAGGACAATATGGTTAAAATTCCCGAGATGAACTTTTACTGACACATTTCAAGAGAACTGGACCTCTGAATGCCACCCTTCAAAAATAGATGAACGTAGCCAGGTGTGGTGGCTCACACCTGTAATCCCCATGCTTTGGGAGACCAAGGCAGGCAGATTGCTTGAGGCCAGGGGTTCAAGACCAGCCTGGCCTACATGTCAAAACCCCATCTCTACTAAAAATAAAGTTAGCCAGGCATGGTGGCACGTGCCTGCCATCCCAGCTACTCGGGAAATCACTTGAACCCAGGAGGCGGAGGTTGCAGTGAGCCAAGATTGCACCACTGCACTTCAGCCTGGGGGACAGAGAAGACACTGTCTCAAAAAAAAAAAAAAAAAAAAAAAACACACAAAACAAAACAAAAAACCCTAATATAGGTAAATTAGGAAGTGTTTCATTTTAAAATGTTCCTATAAGTATTATGGTAAATAAGATTTAAGTTGTATGTATATATACCAGCACACTGTTTTGCACCAAGTGAGACTTAACCCTTGGAAATTTTCGTAATAAAGGGAGCCTTTACCCCTGGTTAAGCTGATTACTTTCCTATGCACTCCAGTTGAAGGAAGTATGTATAACACATACATGTTACAGTCCTACCGATGCCCACATCCCCCCTAGCACACACAGGTTTTCCCTTCCAGAATTCACTATTTGTCCAACAGAACAATTTATTTTCAAAAGTATGCTCTAAAGTAAAATCTTGAAGCCTCAAATTCTCTGAGATGCCTTGGAAGTCCCACAATGTTCATGAATATTGTCCCAAGGAGTTCCACAAACACAGTAACCAGTTTAACTGAGCATCTGCCAAACTGGGTTGGTTGTGGAAACTTTCCTTTCCATCATTCCCCACAAGGATAATTTTTAAAATGCTTTATTAGTTGGGCACAGTGGCTTACACCTGTACTCCCAGCACTTTGGGAGGCTGAATTGGGACGATCACTTGATCCCAGGAGTTTGAGAGCAGGCTAGGCAACACAGTGAGACCCCATTTCCAGTGCAGTCAGAAAATAAAATGCTTTATTGGAGCGTCATTTGAGGTGCTTAATGGGTAACTACCTCGAGGGACCTCTAGAGGTTTTGCCAACAAAGGAAACTTCTTAGTCCACACCAGTGGGTCACTCTGGTACCCTCACTCATTTGGTGGTGGTGGCAAGAAGATCCACAATGGCAACTTGAAATTATTATATAAGGTTACGTTTGTATTTTGCTACCCATGATGTGGAGGAATAAATATTTCAGGAATGGGGAGTGTAGAACTATTTTATGCTTATCATGCCTTGTTCCTTTGGGTTTGGTGGTGAGAAAAATCACTTGTCAATGACACATTTTTGTCATATAATCTCAGAAGACCAGGTTCACCGTGAACATGGTCTGGTGACGGCTATTGAAAGTGAGTGTTCCTTTTACAGACATCACCATGGAACCTCGAAGTAGTTCTGGCTATGCTCAGTGGGCTGCAAAATACAGAGCAATAAAATTGATTCAAGTCACCTGTTAGACAAATTAAAGCAATTTGTATTTTTTGTATGTAAAGCAATTTATATTTTACAGTGTATGCACACACATACACTGAGTTAATACACAACTCTTATTTCCCTAGTATGAATTGCATACAGAAGAAAAATAGCAAAGGAAGGCTATGCAGTAAAGATGGAGAGAGAAAAGCACCTAATCCCCTTTTCCCTAATTATTACATGTTTCAGGGATCATTTAGACTGGTATTGTCCAATCCTTTAGCTACCAGTCCCCATGTGGCTATTTACATTTAAATTCAAATTAACTGAAAAGTAAATTTAAAAAATCAGTTCATTGCACTAGTTACCTTTCAAGAGTTCAATAGTCATTTACTAAAAGTAGCTACTCTGTTGGACAGCACAGATATAGAACGTTCATCTCCAAGTGGTCTACTCGACAGCAATGAAACCACTGATCAAGGTCAAAAATCTCTCCGCTGGCTCTGGAGACTTAAGAAAATTGTGATTTTGACCCTTGAATCAGGAATACTCACAAGGAAATTTCTAGATAATAAAGACAAATGTCAGGACATTGACGACTTGTGCCCGTCTTGTATAGAAACACGCATTTTCTTTAACTGGCCAAGTCATATGCAAACAGTAGAGGTCATTCTGAAACCTTTGCAGATGACCACATTTGCTGTGCGGAGGAATCCCAGGTGTACACACCTGCCTTTGATGTTTCTACTATACATAACGTACTAGTCAGTGTGGTTCATTTTAGTTGTTTGCACTGCAGCAATTCTTCCCATTTATCAGACTTGCTACCTTCTTCCATTGACTGAAACTAAGGCAGAAGGTGGAGGATATGCAAAGTTCAAACCAAGAGGCTTGCAAATAGGATGTTACTAAACATCTTTGGTGGGACCAAATTCACAGTCACCAACTCATGATTGACATGACATCTGACTGCTGCAAATACTTTTTCTTGTTCCAGAGAGAAACACGCACATACCACAGACACACTTTCTCTCTACTCAAAACTTTAAGCCTGTTGCAAGCTGATGTCTCCTAGAAATCAGCTAGCCAATTCTAGCCTCTCCCTACCTCATTAAGTTTAATGTATGTACCTGCACACTGTATCTTTCTGTACACATCATGAAAGCCAAGATGAACAAGCTATATAGAAAAATGGCTCCAGAAACCTGGTGACCCGATTTCTCTTTAGTCCATCACTCTGTTTGTTGAACTCAGTGCTGTCATAACTGCTTTGGTTTTATAACTCTTCAGCACATTTCATGAGTTCCCCATTCCTAACTGGAGAACATAGTATTTGGCGCACTAGGTGGCATCTGGCTAAGATCTTTTTTGTTGTGGTTCACTTCTATTATCTTTTTAAGGGAAGCTTTAAGAAAAAAAAAAAACTTCCTAAATTATTATCAGGATGTTTTAGATGTGTCTTCCCCAGGACCGATCCAAAGAATAAACTTTAAAAGATAAACTTGTTTCTTTGAATTGCCATACTAATGATAGCATATTTACTCTGAAAGTTAACTGTGCCAGAAGGAGGAAGAAATTGAGACCAGTGTGCCTACATCTTGAAAGAGGCTTTTTGTAGCTTCCCTGCTTCATCTATGTCTTATCGTATCACTTAGTTTCATGAGGCTAAATGCCGTGAACCTCCCTTTCCCTCATGATTCTGCCGTTGCATACCTTCTCACACACTACTTCATCCTGAGTCACCCCTTTATGGTGATGGTGAGAACGCTCACCTCAGAGGATTATGGGACTGTGTGTTCTAATTAGAACCTGAATAGTCCTGTGTTATCAGTGGACACTGCATCCTGTTTAATTGTGCTGAGATCATTGTACACTGGTTGATGTATCATTGCGGTCCACTGAGCAAGCAGCTCTGTTATTTTCACAGTTTGATCATCTACGCTCTACTGAACACAATTCCTTTTGAATATGCCTATTTGCTCGTCCTCTTTGCTTAATTGAACAATTGCAATTACGGGTACATACAACTAAATGTTAATTATTTTTTTTCAGATTTTTTCTGTTAATGATTTTATTTACCAATTAGAAGACTATCATTTTCCACACCAAACAAATTCTCCATCTGAAGCAGCATGATATATAACCATGTGATCTCTTTGACCAAAAAGAAATGTTCAGTCATTTTTGTAATAATTATGTAACATTTAGACAGCTCAAGACAGTCTTCAGTAACATGAGTGATTAAACAACCAGATAGGTAGGAGATTACTAATAAACTTTCAATCAAAGGGTGACTAAATATAAAAGGAGAGCATTTACTTTATAAGAAAATAAGAATTGTTTGAATAAAATTTAAGTTAATATCTGATAAAGGTAAAGCAGAATCAATTTTGAAAATCTGGAAAGTTCAGCAAAGTATAAAGAGTGTTTAAATAATCCCCCATAATCCTCCCCACCCCAAGACAATCACCATTAACATTTAGGTACATTTTCTTCCAAAGGCCTCTAGGCTCTTCTTTTGGGATATGCTTACGACCGCTAACCTTTAACATACCGCTGGGGTTGGTGTTCCACCCCTTGTTTCTCCACGGTGTTTTTGTACTTTCGCTTTGATACTAAGCTTTCATTAACCTCAACTTTAGCTCAGTAGATTTGCGTAACTGCTGTTCTGGTGTGGTCTTGCCACTGGGCGTCCCTGCAGTGGGCTCTGCTGCAGTCCTGAGTCACATTTCTCCTTGTGTTTTAGGGTGGTTATGCTGCATACCGCTACGCCCAGCCTACCCCTGCCACGGCCGCTGCCTACAGTGACAGGTAAGGGTCATTCTTCTCATGCTTGACAACTACTTGGAAATTAACTTAGTTGATGGGAGAGGAGATTCTTGTATGGTCTTGGTGAAACTGCATGACTGCTGGGGGAGGTAGCACCCCAAAAGTTAGGTCCCATGGTGAACGTGAACTCAAGGCCCCATAGACAGAGGGCAAATGCCTCAGCCCATTCTAAATTACTTTCTCTGCTAAGACACAAAGAAAATGATAGTCTTGGTCCCTGTGTAGTTTTTAACATCTCTTAATTACTGTGACAACACAGCTTGCTCACATACACATACACACACACACTCTGTACAACCTTCTTATGGTCATCTATGTAAGACTATGGTTTCATCTAACTCATAGGAAGAAAAACAGACCACGATCCTACAAGCTTTATTTCAATTTCAAGTCCCTTATTTCCCTTTTTACAAGGTCTTATACGGAATAAATTATTCCCTCCAATGCATTTTTACAATTTGAAATGAACAGGGAGAGTGTCCCTGGCATTCATAAGGAGATTCATTCTTTCTGGCAATGCCCAGTGTCCAATCCTACAAACCTAAGTCAACTTTTATTTGTAATGTACACCACATGTTAAGGCAGGCAGTGGAAGAAACCCAGTGTGTTTGAGAAGTGCAGAAGTCAGAATGGATGGGCAGGTTGTGGGAGGGGTGGGGCGGAAATGAGGGGTTTCTATTACCCAGGCTTAACAGATGAGTTGGTTCCTGAAACAGCAAGCCGTAGTTACTTTTGTATGGTTGCCTTGAAAAAGAAAGTGTGTGTTTTCATATTGAATGCAATTCCTTGGCTCCGTTTTTTAAGGACATAAATGTGAATGTTCAGATGCTCTGCATGCACAAATGTCATTGAGGGTGCTTATGTTGGTAATGAGTCCTTTATTTTAAAAATACGTTTCATGAATAAAACAATGATAACAGTTTGCATGTGTGGCTGGGGCATGCTGGGTCAGACAGGTAAGCAGGCGATGTATTTGACTCCTGAATGGGAAGTGTCGGCAGCCTCTGGTGCTCCTACCCGGCCTGTTGTGATGTAGTTCCTACCTCGGTTTGCTGTGGTGTGCTTTCTCTGCAGTTCCATTCCATTTCTCACGAGATGTGCCGTTAGCTAACTGTAGAATTATTGCAATATAATAAAGCAGAGTAAATTCCTGAACCCTAAAAGCGGCACTTTGAAAACACCATGCATACACTTGTAACAAATGGCTCTTCGGTAAGATGGAGTTGAGATCTGCTGTCTGGTTCTATGCAGGTATCTTCTTATAAGCAGCCATAACAAGTTCTCAAGGCTGTAGGAGGCCTTCAGAGAAATCCAGACAATTGTCAAACAAGGTTCTCAATACATAAATTATACATTTACCCAGCATTCAGTTGCCAAGATGCAAAATGTGTTTCCTGTAAGTTGTTATCTTCAACCCACTGACACTGGATTAGAAAAGTAGAGAGGGTCAAATAAGGCTAATAAAAAAATGCTCAAGAACATTGTACAAATGAAAAGGTCTAATGTTATTAAATTCTGCACTGAAGATTCACAAAGTATCAGTTGCAATGTGGTTCAACTGCAAGCCTTAATTATTTTTTATGAAAATATCTCTAGATGCTACATTCTCAAACACACACTTTGCATATAATTATAATCATAGTAACTTTAGCCTACTGTATAAGAATCTTAAACGGATTTGATTATCTTGTTTTTCAGTATAAGTGCATCTACCCCCCAAGTTGAAAAAAGAAAGATTAGCAAATATATAATTTAAATTGCCTCCTTCAATAAGGCTGGTCTAGACATTTAAAAAATAAACAACATATGATACCATTAGAATTATCTGAGATTCTGGCCAACCCTACTTGCATTCATCTAAACATTTTTAAATTTCTACATTTTGGAACACCATATGTGTAAAATCTGTTATTTTGATATTATTCAGATTTCTCATTGGCAACATGTCCCACTGAAAGATCGCCCTTGTTCTTGGATTGGCATATCTTTAATAACTGCAATTCCAACTTAAGTACCATAGTTTCAGCTGAAGAAACCAACTAACTATTCTGTTGTCCATATAATTGGCCTCTTGTTGTTCGTTAGAGAAATTTGCACATTTGGTCTTCTTGGTTGCTGTGGAAATTGATAGCTATCCTTATTTAACTTTGTCATCAGCAAGACACTTGCCACGTATGAAATTATTCATTGAAGTAAATTCATTAATAAGTAAATGGACAGAAAGCAATCTTTAAAGTTGTATTTCTGAATTTTTTAAGTGTCTATTAAATGGTGCTACCTCCTTTTATCTTTAATAAATGGATATTGAGAAGGAATACCTTTTTATAAGAAGACACTTTTAGGGAAAATGTGAAATTATCAGAATAGCTTTTGAATCTAGATTAAAGATGCCAAGTACCTAGAATTTCAGAAGTAGCAATCGTGTAACCAGTTATTTTTATATCATCACAGCATAGAATCAGTAGTGATAGATTCTTAGTTCCTCTTCTGTAGAAGACAGGCAAGATAAAGAAAAACTTAACAAAAGAACTTCTTCAAAAATAGGAAGTAAAATCAGCAGGCTTTGAGAATGTTTTGGTAATCTCTCTGGCTGTCAATTGATCAAAAGAGAAACTGCAACAAACTTTCCCTGTAATCATGAGATTCATTCTTCAGACATCTTGAAAGCGAAAGTTTGATGTTCCCAGTTGGTAGGATTTTACCTTTTATCAGCACAAATTAAGCCCTCAAATTAAAGATTCAGGGACCTTTGAGAAATATTGAACTCCAGTAACCTCAGGACTGTCCAGAAGGTCCTTAATGGGCACCTTGCAACTCCCTGCCCATCATCTTCTTGGTTAAATGATCACATGCTGATCATCTCGGAGCAACCTGAGTCTCTCTGAATGTTGACCTCCAGAATGAAGACCATCTGGTGTGGGCAGAGATTTCCCCAAAAGGAAAATACCTGACTGGACTAGGTAATTTTAGAGTCTCATTGACAAATTTAGTGGGAATAGGTGAACATCTTATCTTGGCATTTAGGAGACATTTGGTAAGCACTTGACCTCACCAAATCTTTATTTCTAATCTCACTTTGATTTATGCAAAGCCAACTGTCTGAACTCTCAAAGGAGAACGTTTTCTGAGCTTGAACCAATTGAAGCATGGCAGAGGGGACTTTGGTCATCTGGTCATTGCATGCCACTTGGTGTTGCTGATGTGTCTGTGATATGTTCTGGATTGGACAGGTCCATCACATCAGCTTGATGAATGGCTTGCTTGAATTAAGCCTGGGGGCAGGCTTCTCTTTATTGATTGGCTGATGGTTTGTGTATTATGACTTTGTTGTTGTTGCATCTTGAAGCAGCCAAACTGGGACGTTGGAGGTTGGGGGCTGGGGTGGGGGCGGGGGGACGGCGGTGGGGGTAAGATTCCCTGTTTGATCAACTGTGCCACAAATATTTGGGAAAATATGATGTGTACATAGCTTTGATGAAAATGTTATCTCCCCAGACAGACATTTGCCATGCTTGTCCTGCTTGCTAACACTCTAACATTTCCTAATGATCAGTGCATGAAAACGTCCCTCCACATCAGGGCAGAAAGTAGTTAGATGCAGACTGCCTAGAGACTAAAGCAATACAGAGTTTTTCACTCAGATTTCATCACAATCCGATTACACTGATAGTTACCAGCAGCCATTTCTTCCACATAAAACATGCATTTCTTGTAAAGATACATGAAAGCTAAGAAGCTTTTGACATATAGTAGCACCAGGCCACACAGGTATCTCTAAACTGAGCAAAATACTGCAAAGCAACATAATTTTGTTTTAATGGATACCTCCTTGGTTTTGAGACCTTAAAGTTTCACTGCTAGAGATAGAAATTGCTACTTTTATGTGACAAAAATGACATATTGGCTCTGTTGTAATAGGTATGAAAGACATACATACATCAATACAAATTTTATATAGCTCAACTTAATAGAAATCCAAACAAAATGCCGTATTATCTTGCTTTCTGCATACACACATGTACACACACACACTCACTTGTGCCTTGGGGCCTCACAAGGGACTCTTAAGTGTATTCAGGTAAAGCTTAATGCAAAGAGACCAGGGCTTGTTAATTTCAAGTGGTCACAAATGCACGCTAGAAAACATAAGTTAAATATGACATTCATAACCTATGAATAAAAGGTTCTGTTTCAGACAGATTTGTGTTTCTTAGAACCTAGTAAGGATAAGTAGGCATATCTTGGGGTTCATACAGGATTTAGTCTTATTTAAAAATTAAGTGACAGAGCTGGATACATACATACATCCATATGTGTACACATACATAGATGGGTGGAAGGATGGGTAGATGGATAGATGGAGATAAAGCAATAGAGGAGGGTGGATGAATGGAAAGAGGGAAGGAAGCCAGGAAGGGACCATCTTTCTGCCCTCTAATATTTCATCATAAGCTAAATACAGAAAATAGGACTAAATCCTTATTATACAATCTTACTTCAAGCTGAACTAAAAAAGTAAAAGGATTTGAGTTGATTTCCATTAGTGCAGGCTACTCCCTATTTTAGAACTTTTTATTTTCTGGCCTCAGATTAGGTAGGAGAGAAATGCTGTCATGAAAATAGACAAATAAGTACATTTACAATGATATTCCATTTTATTTGGAGTCTTTATCTGATGATATAGGCTAAAATTTAAGGGATTGTCAGCATATGAAGTGTATGAGCATTCTGAATAGAAAATGTAATTTACCATGTAGGGGCTTATTTCTGTAGGAAGGTTAATTTTTTAAAGAGATGTTTTATGGACATTCTTTTTTTTTTTTTTTTTTTTGCCATGGGTTGGAATACAGAAAGTTGAACCTGTGGATAATTTGAAACCCTTAATGAAAATAGGTATACAAAGCAGACAAAGGGGGTACTTGCTCTGCTTTCCCCAGTCCTCTTATCTGAACCAAGTTTGATAAGGATTGAAGATATTTCTA